CACTGCTGAGGCAGTGAATGTCATGAATGAATGTTCCTCGCAAATAGAGGAACACAAGTCTGAAAGTGTGTGTGATTGATATAGGGCCATGGCTGCTCAGTGGTTGGGCCCGTTCCTTTTTTTAACTTTAAATATCATCCGCGTTCTGCACATGCCCGGTGTGGTTTTCTTGGCATGCTGTGTTTTGTGCCAGATGTCTGGAAGGGAAAGTGCATGGCACATCTGTTGAAGGTTTCCACTTGATACTCTGTGTATGTCTGTCTATGTGTGTGTGTGTGTAAGATTAAGCGCCACAAGTACAGTTAGAGGTGAGCAAAACCGCGGGTACGGTCGGCGCAGCAGACAGTCGGCCACAGGACGCTGTTGACCTGCCAGCGAGCGTCTGGGCCAGACCATCACTTGTGTTTTTTGTGTAGCGACTGACACAGCTGACAGTTTGTTCTTATTGGCAGCTGTTGGGCAGAGTCAGCATTTTGAATCAATGGCAGAGGCAGAGAGCTGTCTGACTGCTGAGCCTCGTGAAACAGTGATTCTACAAGCAAAGGATCACGGCCTGACAACGCCAGTGGAAGGGAAACATACTGTATTTATGATGTGATCACACAGTATAGACAGTATGTATTTCATTCTACTGTGACAAAACAGTGCTGCTACACCAACTGTCACCTAAGAAGAAGAAAACCAGAGAGGTGGACTGGTTAGCATAAAATTAACGATTTTCCAATTAATTTTCCATTTTTATTTGAATGATTCAAAACAGATAACCTCTTTGTTTCATTTGTCATTTTGTGATGTTTATGTTTAACAACACAAGACAACTGACACACATGGAGGTTTCCAACTATGGCCTCTGGTCTTTTAGGGTCTTTCCTTCACATCCTCTGTTGTCCCTCTACTCTAAACAGAGACCGACAGGTCCGATTCAGCCCGTGAGGTTACTAGTGATGGGAAGTTCGGATCATTTTACTGATTCGGTTCTTTGAATCTCATTCAGCAAAATGAACGAATCTTTTTAGAGTAATTTCGTTCAGAATGTAATTAAAATGTTATTTTGTAATAATTCAAGAGTGTGTGCAGTGTTCTAAAAAGCTATATTTCAAAGGTGTATGTTACACAGGCTGTCTCTAAATTATTTAAATGCCCAGTTTGTTGTGCAATATTGTTTTAGGCTTTATATTGCAATTTAAAAGTTAAATGGTAATGGCTGTTAGGCTCTGTGGCTTTACAGTTTGTTTGAGTTTTCATTTATTTTATTTTAATTCATTTTGGGATAGTTATTCCCTTTGCTATAAAACTTTATAAACAAAAACAAACAATAAACAACAATTCAAGAGTCAGTCTCTATTATTAAATAACTGCATATTAGATTAAAAACAACACTCAAATTTATGCATGAATTTATACATTTCTATTTTCTACTCTGCAGGGTTATCTGATGTTTATTCAGATGATTATATTTGTTAATACAAAGAATAAATAAATAAAAGTAAGAAAGATTTTCCCTGATGAAGTTTAAAACATTAACCAACTCTTTATTAAAACATTCAGTGTTATGGAAAAGAAAAGAAAAGAACGATATTGACAGATATTAACAAAATTATAGTCTGTAGGAAATAAAAAGCTATTTTATAATAAATAGCGTAACATGCATCACATAATGGTAAGAGTAAAAAAAACTGTAAGGACGGCTGAAAATTAACTAATTTCTGTCTCCAACAATGCGGTTGTCTTGAACACAAAATGAACGAACCAATCCCCGAGACGACCCAATGTTCTCGAGTCATGGGAAAGATTCGTTCAAAATGAATGAATCATTCGTGAACGACATCACTAGAGGTTACGCCGGGTGACGGTTAACAATAGTGGAAACACTGTTTCTATGGTGTGTTTAAATGTAACTTTAAAGCCGCTTTCAGGCTCTAGTTAGCTCCACATCTTGGTTGAGCTTAATATTCTACACTCATCATAGATGGTACATCACAAAAGGTTAAACTGGTTAACTAAAGACTCTCACCTCTGCCCAAGGAGGTTATATTTTTGTTTCCGTGTGTGTGTTTGTTGGTTAGCAGGATTACAGACAAATGGCTGGATGGATCATCAGCACACATGGTACAATGATTAGATTTTGGCTGAAAAAGTTCAAAGGTCAAGGTCACAGATTTAAAAAAAAGAATTCATATCTCCATCAAAAATTATCAAAATAATTTTTTGTTTGAAATTTGACACACAAATCTAGGGTAGCCGTGTCAGTCACCAGACCATAGGATTTTAAGACACATGTTGTGCCTTGGTGGAGGCACATGCGCTCTCTGAGTGCTCTTGCTGTCACCTGTAGTAACTGTTATTTCACCAACTGGATGTCATAGGTTACCCACTGTCGTTATTTACCACTAGATCACACTGTGGCCGTCTGCTTGTTGCTCTGCCTGTGTGTTACTCTTGTGGTCATGTTATGTATATTGTTCCTGCTTGATGTGGTTTGAATGCGTGCCAGCCAGCCCTCAGGCAGCAGTAACAGGTGGCTCCCTGTGGGCTATGTGTGAGTGTGTGTAGCCCTCACATCAGTGCAGCTGGCCTCACAGTGCTGGTTTACTCATTTCCATCTTCAGCAACAACAACAGCAACGACTGTGTCACCAGCTGGATGCGCACCTGTGCGCTTCATCCCCTGTCTTTCTCCTGTTAGCCCCATTTTTGCCTCACTCTGCTCCTCTATTATAGTCATATGCTGTTGTTGTTATATCATATCACCAGCTGGGTGTCCACATATATGCTCCTCTTGCTCTTTCTTTCATCACTCGCTCCCTTCTTTCTCTGTTTGTTTTGATTCCAGTGTTAAAGGACTAGTGGCGACTCCAGATTACATGTTTCTAGTGCTCAGACGGCAGGTTATATTTAAACTTGGACCAGTATAGACCAGGCGGGTCTGAATCAGCTCGGCTTCATTCATGCACTTGTGTTTACCTTTAGAAGCCAGAGCCTACAGCTGAACTCTGGATCCTTTTGATGCCCTTTGTACCTGTCACTCCTGATTGTGTGCACCAGCAATATACTATATGAGGACAAAGTAAGACAATAAATATTGAAAGACTAAAGAGAGGGGGATGATAATGAATGCACATGTCACATAAAACATGCAACAAATACATTCTGCACAGTCATTTGATGCATTCATGGGAGTGATGCCGGCATAAATATTTATCACATTTTCACATTCATACTTGATGAGGAATGAAGGAAGAAGAAAAACATTTCAGAAGGCTTTTGGTCTCACGGTGGTTATGTTGGCTAACATAAAAAGTGTTTTATATGTCATGTGAGAACTGAAACTTGCCTTGAGGTGGTTTGAGGCATGCTGAGGTGGTTTTCTGTTGCATTTCATATACAAGGAGGCACTTGGATACAGATTTTGGCAGCAAATCCAACTCCGCAACACTCTGCGGTTAAGCATCTCACTCTGTTTATAGGCTAACTGGGAACTAGGTTGTCTTTGCCATGTCTAAACAAAAAGGACGATCAGTTAAAGCCCCCAAAAGTTTAATATTAAACCAGATGAAAGTGAAT